AGGGAATTTCCCAGACCCCATGACGATGTCCCTGCCAGGACTGGCTGCTGCACCCCAAAAGCCCTGAGGTGGCTTGGCAGGAAGGAAGCTCTTACTGGCTGGGGCACCTGCCAAGCCACACCTGTCCCACGGCTCCTGAGCTCAGATCTGTCCCGGCTTGTACCTCCCACAGGCTTGGGGAAGTGCTATTTTGGCAGCTGGTGAGCAGAGGGCCCTATCCTTGAGGGTATTAGGGGATGGGAGAGGGTGACTCATTCATGGTGCTTCGATGGGTGGAAGGCTGCAGCTAGGGGAGGGCCAGAACCAAGCCCAAGAAAGATTTTCAGCCCTGCAGGCAGGCTGGCCCCACTCCAGCGAAGGGCTCAGGTGAGTCACACTGCCCATAGTCGCCGGAGGCTGGGCACAGTCTTTAACGGGGTGGGACAGCCAAAATGTCATTGCTCTTGGCTCTAGCTGTCCCCTGGACTGAACAGGGCTAGCTCCTTATCTGTGATGATTTCAAGAGCTCTGTGGCTGAAAGCTCAAGAGAACACTCCTCCCACCATATCAGGCCCCGAGAGAGGGGACAACAGCTGGTGACATGTGGGGGAGTTTATAAGGAGCATATGCAGCCATGGGGCGGGGTCCTAAGGTCTTTGGAGAAGGGGGGCTGTTCCTGCCATTCTGGAGCCTCCAGGGAGGGAGATGCCCTTGAACTCTTGGAGCCTGAGGCGGAGAAAGGGTTCCTGATGGTCTTGGTGGGGCACAGGAGGGGACAAGGATGTGGGTAGGACTTCAGGAAGAGGAGTTAGGTGAGAGTGAATGAGTGGGAGGGGGAAAGGCTAGTGGAAAGCCCACGCACGATTTGCAGTTGGTTTGGCAAAGGAGCTAAGGAGCCACGGTTGGAAGCCACCCCATGGGGCAAAGGTGGGGATCACTGTGGCTGGAGACTGTGCAAGGAGGGGACCCTACCCACTTAGGATCCCCTGCAGTGCTAGGGAGGTAGCAGCAGCTGGGCTTGGCTGGACGGTGGAAGATAGGGGCGTGCTTGGTGGGGGACAGGGTCACAGCTGCCTACCAACCTGTGTCTCCAGGTTGGACCCCCCACCCCATCCAACGCTGCTCAGTTGGAGTCTTCATTAAGTGAGGGGGTGGCCCACGTTCTCCCTCAATTAGTGCTGAAGCCCGGAGAACCCAGAAAACCAGGTTCTAATTCTGACCACAGGCTGAGCTTGGGTAAATCGGTTACCCTCTTGGAACCTTTCTTTCCCCTCTTTGATTTTTAGAGAGAGAGGAGGGGAAAAGGAGAGAAACATCCATGTGAGAGCAAAACATCGATCTGCTGCCTCCCGCACACACCCCAACCGAGGATTGAGCCCACAACCAAGCATGTGCCCTGACTGGGAATCAAACTGATGACCTTTCCGTTTACAGGACGACGCCCAACCAACTGAGCCACACCAGGGGCCCCTCTTGGGATCTTAATGACCTCACCGGGAAAACAAAACCCCCACCTCTTAGGGTGCCATGAGAATTAAACAAGAGGGTGGATGTGAAGGTCCTGGCCCCGACAATGTCAGGTTCTCTGGCACAATATCAGTTTCTTGGGGATGGGCCTGGGAAAGAGCTGGGGCAGGCTGCGTCCCCGTAGCCTCCCCCTCAAGGGCCCCTGTGCTTGGAGTCAGACGGCTGCCCGGACTCTAGGCGGGGTCTTGAGAACCCAGAATCTCAGGACAAAACAACCCTCCCACTCAGGGCTCCCAGTCCCTTCTGTCTCTGAAGGCCTCTGTGGCCCCCCCGAAATCCTAGAGGCCCCTTGGAGCTGGAGAGGCCATAGAGGGACATTCCTCATCTTAACGGACACAGCCTGGCTTTCTGTGAAGCTGGAGGAACTGCACATTCCTCCTGAAATAATCGTCCTGGAGCTATTTCCAGAGGCTCTTAGTGCCCGTCCAGAAATGGCCAGTGATCTCGATGCCTGGGTACCGTCAGGACAGATGGCACAGAGGCCCAGCCCCCAGCCCAGAGCAGAACCAGGCCCGGCTGAGGCCCCACAAAGGAACAGTTGACACCACTTCCCTGGTTCCCTGAGTCCCCTAGTGTACCTGGGAGGCCGTATGCAGAGCTTTCTGTGTAAAAGTGCTTTGTAATCTTGGATCTCATCATTAGAATACATCCGATAAACCCAAATCGCCTGTACTCTTCAAAAATGCCAGTGTCATAAGACACAGAGAAAGACTGAGGGACTTCCAGGTTGAAGGAAACCAGGGACCTGGGAGCTAAGGGCAAGGCCTGGTCCTGACTCGGACCCTGGATGAAATGGTGGAGGAAGAGCTGCCATGAAGAACATCGGAGGGACACGGACTGTATAGTAGATACTAGTACTGTGTCGATGGTAAATGCCCTGCATTCGGTAGTCGTCGTGTGGATGTGTAAGAAAGGATTCTTCTTCTCCTAGCGTGTGTTTAGGGAATACATGCTGAAGTATTCAAGGGTAAAGATATTATTGTCTGCAACTTCCTCTTAAAATAATAATGAATTGGGGGGGAGGTGTAGTGACAAATGTGTTAATAATTAGTGGATGAAAAAATAATTAGTGGGCTTAGATCAGTGGTTCTCAACCTTCCTAATGCCGCGACCCTTTCATACAGTTCCTCATGTTGTGGTGCCCCCCAATTTCATTCTTACAAATTGAACATAACTAAAGCATAGTGATTAATCACAAAAACAACATGTAATTATATACGTGTTTTCCGATGGTCTTAGGCGACCCCTATGAAAGGGTCATTCGACTCCCCAGGGGGTCGTGACCCACAGGTTGAGAACCGCTGGTTTAGATAGAAACTATATGGGAGTTCTTGTCTTACAAGTTTTCAGTAACTGGAAATCTTTAAAAATAAAAAGTAAACCTGTGTTTTCAATATTTAGGGAAGGAAATGATGGAGGGAGGCTTTCCTTGGCAAATGCAGTAAGAACCCAAAAGGGGGATTTTGCTTATTTTTTCAGCGAACATGTACGGGGTGACACCAGGTTGTGGAGGGCGTGAGGAAGAGGCGAGAAGGGAGGAAAGAAGGTGCTGTTATGCCCAGGAATGGGTCCTTCAAAGGGATTAGCACTCTAGCGCCTCTGGAGAAATGTTTACTGACCCGATGAGAAAAGAGAAGTCATTGATGCTGACCACAGCCAATGGGAGTTACAGTAGACCCGGCATAGGACTTCCTGACTCGCAGCATAATTAAACACTTAGAAAAACAACAAGGAATGCTGGAAAACGTCCATCCCAGCCCCGTTTTAAAAATAAGGTCCATCTGTCTTGGAAGGCTTAAAGTGGCCTGGCCTTGAGGCAGGGGCCTGACCAGGATGGCCCCGGGAGGCCCCTCCCAGCGCTAGGATTCCGTGATTCTATGACATGGCCAGCAGTCTGTATGAGGGTAACCTCAGTAGACACCAAGGAGAGGGCCAAGTCATCTACCTCCGAAAGACAGAGTGAGAGTGGGAGAGGGCCTTTTGGCAGATGGGGCCCCGCCAGCCAGGAAGGGAAGGGCGGGGCCCTGTGGGGGTCAGCCCTCAGTTACCTCCTATTTTTCCAGAGGAGGAAATGAGGGTGGGGTTGGACCAGAGAGGGCAGAGGCAGATCTGGACGTTCCACTTGATTCAGACCCAAAGGACAAGGGCAGCTGATGGGCTATGGGCTGGGTGAGGGGCTGGCAGCTGTTTTCTGGGTGGGACAGGTTCAAATACAGCCCTGTCCTTGCTAAGCTGAAGTGGAAAATTAGCATCACGCTGGCATTACTCGGGGAGAGAAATCAGAGCCTGCCTTCTGGTGGGGGAGGACTGGGGAACTCAGCGACAAGGGGAACAGGGAGGACCAGGAACAGGAGTGGGGGTTAAATGGACGGGGCATCTCTTTGGCCTGGTCAGGGCTTAGTCCCTGTGAAGTGCCTACTTTTGAAGCAGGAGGAGTAGGTGTCCCAATACTCACCCGCTTCTTGTGGGGTGGATGAGGAGACGCCTACTGTTAGAGAGGATCAAGGCCAAATACTCTGTGAGGTTCTGATTTCACAAGTCCAACCTAATTAGTAGGCTTGCCACACCCCCTGCCCCCCTACCATTTGGGCTTCACATACAGCTCCATTCTGAGTTATGGGGTAGCAAGTGCCCCCCCTGCCTCTGGTTCTCCCCTTCGTGCCCTCATCCAGGCAGGCAGAGCAGATGTGGTGAGACTTCTTCCTAAGTAGACTGTGAGGGAGGCCAAAGTCACCTGGACAACATAGCGTCGTCTTCCAGGGGTCATCAGACACACCCAAGATAGTACCTTGGCCCACCCCTGACAAGCTGTGCGATCTGAAGCCGAGTCCCATCATTTCTCTGAGCCTCAGTTTCCTCATCAGTCATCTAGGAATAGAATAGCAACTTCCACCTTGATTTGTAGTAAGAATTCCATGCAAGAGACAAGCAAGACCCAGGCTCAGAGATAGTGCATCTAGGACTGTGTTGCTTCTAAGACACATTCTTTTAGTATCAGAGTCCATTGTTGTAGTTGTTGATTAGCGAGTTGATATTGTCTCGTAAGAAAGCCTGTCTCAGTGCTTGGAGATTCACCATGAGATTCAGTGCTGGGCCCCTGTGGCTTAAAGGGCAAAGAGGAATTTCAGAATGTGGGCTTGAGCTAAGAGAAGAGAGAGACTCCCCCACTCTTTCTAGGGGTCTTCTGGCTCCGTCATTTTCAGGATCTTGCCTTCCTACCCACCTCTTGCCCTTCTCTTTGTGCTTTCTGAATGCTGGGGGTGTCTGTTTTTCAGTTTGCAAATCCCTGGGCCTAGGAGGAAGATGGGGAGAAGGAGAAGGGTGGTGTGTTGGCTCCGTGAAGGCCGATGGAACACCTGGAGAGAAACCCAGGAGGGAGGTGGCAGGGAGCCGAGGAAGGCTGACCTCACTCTCCTCACCAGACCCAGGTAACCAGCTTCAAGGTGAGCTCACAGCAACTCAGCGCCACGAAGTTCTCTCCTCCCAGCAGGCCAATGTCTGGGCGCCGGGTGAGATATCCCAACACTCACAGCCACTTGAACCATCCCAAGACTGTGTCCTTTCAAATCCCGACTCCAGGCCTGTTCCAATGCCCTGAGACAAGACCTAACAGCCTCAAACGTCCTCACACCCCAAGGGGCTTGGAGTTCAGCAGCGGCATCAACCCTTCGGAACAGTCCGACAGCCCCAGCTCCCCTAAACTTCCAGTGAGGAGAATCTGCATGGGCCGGCCCTACACCTCCAAGTTCGTAGAGACAGGCCACCTGGGGAACCGCCCCAAGGTGGCCAAAAAGCCCTGTTACCGTGACAGCCCCCACTGTCTGCTCTGCACCGATGGTCCCTCGGACCACTCCAGTCCCACCTTCCTGGAGCAACTCATCAGAGGCATCAACTACCTCGACAGGGCCACCAACTGCTCCACAGTACTGAACCTGCCACAGCTCGCCATCAACTACCTAGAACAGGCGGCCAACTCCTACCTGGGTCACCCAGACCACTCCTCCCCCCGAGGGTACTCCAACCCCAGCACTACCATGATGCCAGCCACCAAGGGTGTCAATGCTTTGCAGTATGTGGATGATGCCGTCAACACAAGTTGCTCACATCAGTTTCGTAGCCAGAACCCCCCTCCGATGCCGCCACAGAGACCGGAGATAAAGTTGCCTGAGCTCCGTTTGTTTGGCAACAAGCTTTTTTCTTTAGGTCGCCTGCCCAAGTTCTGGGATGAAATCCGCTCGGACTGGAATGCCTCTCTCAAACCCATCTCCAAACCCTGTAGCTGGTGGTGATATTGACACCAACCATGAAATGGACACACGTCCATCAGTCTGCAGTTGTGCAAAATAAATTGTCTGTGGCAAAATGCTCCTCCCAAGGCTCCGTTGAGGGAAATGGCCATTTAGATTGGGGATTATAAACTGGAGGACTTATGGGGCGGGCAGTTAAAAGTTAATGGGTGCGCCCAGCTGGTGTGGCTCAGTGTTGAGCATGGACCCATGACCCACTAATGGTTCTCTGTCATCATTGATGTTTCTTTTTTTTTTTTCCTCACTTGAGGATATTTTTCCATTGATTTTTAGAGAGCTTGGAAGAGAGAGGGAAAGGCAGAGAGAAATATCAATGTGAGAGAAATATATCAATTAGTTGCCTCCTGCACATGCCCTGACCAGAGCTTGGGCCGGGAGGAGCCTGCAATTAAGGTACATACCCTTGACTAGGAATCGAACCTGGGACCCTTCAGTCCACAGGCTGACACTCTATCCACTTAGCCAAACTGGCTAGAGCATCATTGATATTTCTTTTTTTTTTTAAAAAATAGATTTTTAATGATTTTAGAGAGGAAGGGAGAGGGAGAGAGAGATAGAAACATCAATGATGAGGAAGAATCATTGATAGGCTGCCTCTTGCATGCCCCTTACTGGGGATCGAGCCCACAACCCAGGCATGTGCCCTTGAAAAGACTCAAACTTGGGACCCTTCAGTCCACAGGCTGACGCTCTATCCACTGAGCCAAACCAGCTAGGGCCATCATTGATATTTCTATCTCTCTCCCCTTCTTTCTTTCTCGCTCTGAAATCAATAAAAAAGTATTAAAAACATTAATGAGTGAATTGGGCTGGATAGTGGAGACTGTATCTGAGTGGAGAGGGACTACCTGGTCAAAACCCAGGTCTCAAATGGGTTGTTGCCTTTTCAAGAAAAGCCAGGAATCTGAGTTTAATATGTTAGCAACAAATTTAAAAAACGTCAGCCCAGCTGGTGTGGCTCATGGTTGAGTGTCAGCCCATGAACCAGGAGGTCATGGTTTGATTCCCGGTCAGGGAACACGCCCAAGGTTGTGGGACTTGATCCCCAGTGTGGGATGTGCAAGGAGGCAGCCAATCAATGATGTTTATTTCTCGTCAATTTTTCTATTTCTCTACCCCTCTCCCTTCTTCTCTCTCTAAAAATCAATTAAAACATACTTTTTTAAAAAAGTCATAAGGGTCTGTGAGATGAACAAAAATACGTGTTGGCCGAGTGTGAAGCCCAGAGGTCTTAGTTAGGAACCTCTGGATTTTTTAAAATATGTTTTATTGATTTTTTACAGAGAGGAAGGGAGAGGGATGGAAAGTTAGAAACATCGATCAGCTGCCTCCTGCACACTCCCTACTGGGGATGTGCCCGCAACCAAGGTACATGTCCTTGACCGGAATCGAACCTGGGACCCTTGAGTCCGCAGGCTGATGCTCTATCCACTGAGCCAAACCGGTTAGGGCAGGAACCTCTGGATTTTATCTTGCATGGACCACTGGAGAGGTTCCTAGCCTCCCTTACCCTTGGTTCCTGCATGTGAAGAAATATATTGTTTATACCCAACCCCATCCAAACTCTTATTTTTCCAGGATTACTAACTTTAGCACAGCCCATGTGAGCAGAAGGGCAGAAGTGATGATTATGATGATGATGATGATGATGATAGCAAACCTTGTAGAGCCCTTACAGGCACTGTTCTAATTGGTTTGTTTTTTGTTGTTGTTGTTCCAAGTGTTTCATACATATTTATGCTTCTAAAGATGTGGTTTTGGTGACCAGGGCCCAGGATGGACGTAGAGAAAAGTTTGCAATGCCCAGTGTGAGACGTGTTGGAACAGGCAACCTGGGATAGTGGCAGGTGGGAGGATGGTCCTTCCTGAGAAAATCTCTGGAAAGAATGATTCTGTCCAAACCAGGTGAGGGTTGGAGGGTCAGAATAGGTAGTCCCACATTTCTTGCTGGGAATATCTGAGAAAGTGTCCCCTGGGCCACTGAAGGCTCCAAACTTTCAGACTCAACAGGCCCCACAAGGCACCCAGGTATCTACCATCCTGCTGATGAGGGACCCTGGAGCCTGGGATTCCAACCTAGCTCTGCCACTCACCTGCCCAGAGACCGGGGTTTCATCCTTTCCCCTCTCTATGCCTCTGTTTCCTCTTCTATAACATGAATGGGGTAATTTGATGATCTCTAGGAGCCCCAGGACTCTGATATTTTTGCATTTCTCCTGGTCCCAACGGAGGCCTAGAGCCTCCTGAGCTGAGAATTGAGACTGTACCCCATATCCACCCAAGAACTCAAGCCCCCTAAGTCCTGAGTTATCTTCCCAGGCTGTCCAGGGGCTATTTCAGGCCTCAGGGCCCATTTCTGTGTGGATCTGAACTCCAGACCCAGCCAGATCCTTCTTGCTAGAACTCCCCTTGGAAATATGAGGGCAATAATAGAGTATGGAATGGGTTGACCTTGAAATAACCCAAAGGTCTACAAAGCTCCATGGCTCTTGGAGGAGGTGGCCTAGCCCTATGGCCAAGTAGAGAAGGCAGCAAGCCTGAATATCTCTGCCATGAGATTGCTGAGGTGGTCCTAGGATAGGAAGACGGAAGGGGGCACTGAACCCCCAGCCCATTGACTTCACCCCTGCTTCTACTCCATCTCTGAAGGACAAAGGTGATCCTTCCTGGGTTCAAAGCCCAGCAGCTTCTTTCTCTGTCTCTGGCATCTCTTACCTTCCCAGGAAGAAGACTTTGGCCTTTGTCTGAGGGGTCCTCAGCCCTCCAGTGACTTATTCCCCAGGTACATAGTCACAGGAAGATAGCTGGTTAGAATCCATTTGGCCCAGCTCAAGAGGTAGTTCAAGAGTGTCCTGAAGCCCTGGCTGGGTAGCTCAGTTGGTTAGAGCGTCATCCAAATATGCTGAGATTGCAGGTTCAATCCCCCTCAGGGCATATACAAGAAACAACCAATGAATGCACAAACAAGTGGAACAACAAATCTCTCTCTCTCTCTCTCTCTCTCTCTCTCTCTCTCTCTCTCTCTCTTCTCTCCTTTCCCCCTCTCTAAGATCAACCAATAAATAAAGAAAATGTTTAAGATTAAAAAAAAATAGTGCCCTGATTCCTAAACCCAATCTGGCCCCTCAAAGCCATCTCCTTCCTGCTTTAAGCCCATATTTGCAGAAGAGTCATCCTGACTCCTAAGGATGCCTACCTCAAAAATGGTCCAATTTCCCCTAATCAGAGTGTAAGAACCTTGCCTAAGACTCTGTTCTTGAGGTCTCCAGTATCTAGCCCAGTTCTGGCTCACAATAGGGGCTCAATTATATTGATATGGATTAAAGGGCCTTATGTCCAGCATGTGCTCAGTAATGCTAACTACTATGATATTAAAAGTAATTACAGTATCTTGCACACTGTGGACTTTCAATAACTAATAATGATGACAGCCAATATTTATTAAGCTCTTAACTATGCCCTAGGCATTAAGTGGCTTATATGTATTAACTCATTTAAGCCTCATACCAACCCTTTAAGTAAAGTACTATTGTCCCTATTATACAGATGAGGAAACTGAAGCACCGAGAGATCAGGTATAAATGATGTGCTAAAGATGGTTACAGTGCATAGAACACAGCAGCTCTTCAAAAAATGGTTGTGCCCTAACTGGTTTGGCTCAATGGATAGAGCGTCGGCCTGCAGACTCAAGGGTCCCAGGTTCGATTCCAGTCAAGGGCGTGTACCTTGGTTGTGGGCACTAGGGAGTGAGCAGGAGGCAGCTGATCGATGTTTCTAACTCTCTATCCCTCTCTCTTCCTCTCTGTAAAAAAATCAATAAAATATATATTTTTTAAAAAAATGGTTGTGCAGAGTAGGTGCTCAATAATAATTATCTTTAGGATTACAACATCTTGGAAGCAGAAGGTGCTCCACAAATGCATACTGTGGGTGCTCAATGAATGGTAGATGTCATTATAGAGCCCAGTGCATAGTAGGTGCTCAAATGAAATTTGACCATTGGTTGGGGATTCGATTGTACCCTAAAGGGACAGGACCTCTGTGCATGGCTCAAACTTCTCAGGATATATACTCATGGCTCACAAATCCATTCAACCAGTCACTCTGCCCAAGTCCAGAGAAAATAAGGCTTTTAGTTAGAGAAGGCCCTCTGCCTCATGTGGCCATGCGGAGGCCACAGGAAGTCCCTGAATCCACCGGTCAAACCATGCATCTGCAGGGTCCATGTAAACAGGAAGCAGCAGGCAGGCTGCAGAACAATGTCACGGCCTACTGTGCTGTCTGTCTTGTGTACAGAATGGCCTAGGTGTCCCCACAGCAGAGTGTGGCCGGGGAGAGTCCTTCATTATTAAGTGCCAGGCATGCTGCCAAGGCCTGAAACACAGGCTCTCGGCCCTCAGCTCCCTGTGAGGCTCGGTGTCAGTACCCCATTTTGCAGAGGGGGAAACTGAGGCTCAGAGAGAGAAAGTAACATGCCTGAGCTCCTGCAGCTGAAAAGTAGCAGAGCTGCGATTCCAACCCAGGCCTCTGACCCTCAGCCAATGCCCTTTCTATTCAAACCACTAGGGTTTTTTTCTTAGTATTTATTGAATGGATTTTAAAAGAAAGAGGGGTAAATCTTGGCCTCTAAAACATGCAATAAATTAGACAAAGCAAGGATTGTATTTAAGTCCAGGGGTTTGGGCTGCCCCCAACACCAGTCCTCTGAGCAGGGCCGTGCTAACCTGGGACAACATGCTCTTACAAGAAATAGTAAGCAAAGGGAGAAATTTCCTCAAGGGTCATTTGCTGTCTCAGTTGCTCAATCCACCGGTTCCTGCATCATTTGGTAACATTGGGTATAAGGGCATGATATTAGAATTATTTTTGTGATATTAGAATTATTTTTCTGTATTTAAAACAATCGAATGCAGCGGTTCTCAACCTGTGGGTCGCGATCCCTTTGGGGGTCGGCCGACCCTTTCACAGGGGTCGCCTAAGAC